GTGTGTGTGTGTGTGTAGTGGCAAATAAATATATAGAAAATATCTCCACACAGATTGTTTTAACTATAAATTATGTGTCAAATTATTTTAAATGTAAACATTTCCTGAAAAACTAAAAATGCAAAGAAAAATAATTCAATCAAATTGTGGAACGGGTTATATTTGATTTAAAAGTGTCAAAGAAACTGTTATTTTCATTGAGAAAAAAACCCACCATGTAATACCCTGTTCTTTTTATGATGCTGTAATTTATTTAATAATAAATAAATAATAATATGAATAATTCATGAGTAAATCTTGCAGTTCGTCGCCGACTCGAGTGTGTTTGCATTAAGGAGGAGCAGCGAGGAGGTGGAACAGCTGTTCTCCTCCACAGTCCTGTAAGGCTTTTTGACTTAATTATAGCGGACATTCACACACACTCATGCACAGACACACACACACACACACACACACACACACATGTACAATGAAAATAACAGCTCCCCATGTCTCAGCTTTTGTCTGCATGTTTCTCACAATCACAAGCTGTTTCAGTGTTGTATCTTAACACTCCAAAAACAGAAACATTCACTCCCTCTGTTCCTGCCTTCAACCTCCTCCAAACTTCTCGTCTGCTCAGTAAAKTCARTGTGTGTGTGTGCGTGTGTGTGTTGCAGTCAGTGAGATAATGCACTGAGAAGCTATTCCTCTCTGGTCACACTGGAAGGAGTTGGTCATGCTTTTTGTTTGGTGAAAATGTGTGTGTGTGTGTTTTGTGTGCGTGCGTGCGTGTGCGTGCGTGCGCCCTCCCGGGGGAAGGGAGTCTAACGCAGATGGCAAATAAAGTATGCAGCCTGAGGCGAGAGCACATTATGCTAATTCTAATGTCAGCTGTACTTTAATATACGACTCTATTTAATCACCCCATTATTTCCTATTTCCATATGAAAAAGCAGGGAAAGCCAAGGAGACGCTCATCACTTTATTTGGTCGGACGCAGAGCTCCGGGTTTTATGGAATGCTGAAGGAAACATTGCGCAGACCCTTCCTTTCCTTCCCTCTTCTCCCTGAGTGTTACATTATCCCACACACACACTCACACACACTCACACACACACTGACTGATGACCTGCTGTATGAGTATTTACACTTTCTGTAAGGGTAACACGAGTTTACTGACATTATTTTATGGAAACAGCAAAGCTTACAGGCTAAACAAGCCCTGATCATGTTCTGTTTGTCTCATTTTTACTGATAAAAGGTGAATTTTCATATTCATTCTGGGCACAGTTTGCCATATTTTCCCATCTTCCACAGCTGGGGCAGCAATTATTAATCAAATCACATACATTTATTTTGAAGGAGAAAGGCTGACCACGAGGGCCACRTTTAAAAGAGATTTATTAATTTCTTTATTTATTAACTTGCATGTATAAAACAGTAAWAAAACATTCTTCATCCTGAAACAAGTATACTGTTTGGTAAGACTTGCTCTGATTGGTCAGCTCCACTCATCTGACCTGGTTCTGCCTGTCGATCGTTAAAATTTAAAGCTGAGCTTCTTTCAAATAAAACGAGTTCACAGACCGCTGTGTAAGGCACACGATCCACGTTTGTTAATGATGATCAAATAAAACAAGAAATTAGATTTAACACAGCTTTAAAGAAACAGGAAGTCAAACAGGAAAGTAGCCGGAACACAATGCCTGGAGGTGTGCACACAAACACCATGAATGTGCCTATTTAACAACACAAAAGAGAAAACACAACAACAATATTTGTGAGCCATCACATCGAAGTGAGGATTAAATCCAAAAGTGGTACATGGAGAAAAAGGCAAATATAGTGTTTTGACTAAAATGTTAACAAAAATTGTATTTTGTCAAAATATAATGATAAAAGCCTTATCAATGTATCATTTGAATGAAATATCTGAAATATAATCATTAAACAAAATTTTGAAGCACTTTTTTTGAGCAGTGGCAACAAAAAACACTGATTTTGAGGAAAAAAGCCTTCAAATTTAGACATTTTCCCTGTGAGTTAGCAAAGTTTTTTCTTTTAAATGGGAAATCTCATTAATCATATTTCATTTGAGGTTTCCTCTTTATAAGGACATCAAAAATTCCTCATTAAAATGACATAAAATTAGGATTCAGACCAAATGTTTATGTATTGTTGTAACCAATAAGACAAATTGAGTCATATATATGGATTTAAATATGATATCAGAATGATCCAGGTATCAAAATGTAGCTTTTAAAGTCAAGAATCTGAAAATGTAATTGGGTCATTTTAACCAAATTTGAGTCAATCCTCATTTTGATATGATGGCTCACATTTGTGTCTACATTTAAGACTGACAAATGTGCTTTTTAGACAGTTTAGGCTGATATGATGAACTGGAGGATCAGATTCATGGAATAATCAGTTATTTTCTGATTTGAATGTTTCTCTTTGCAGCTCACTAAATGTCTGAATGTCTGCTTGAGCAAATTTAAAACCTTATTTTATTATTTATCTTTATTTAGAACAAACGTGTCTCATTTAAAAAAAAATAAATAAAAGATCCTGAATGAGTAATAAGTGAGTTTTTATGGCTTTTGTGCCAGTTTTTTGTTGCGTCGCATTCTTTTTCTTCTCTCTGACCTTTGACCTAAACTTATAGAGATGATCTTTCTGCTTCAATTTCCCATTTAGTAAAATCCTGCTTCATTTAGTCTCTTTTCATCAAATGAATCCATGACATGATGTGGTAAATTTGTGTTCTTCCACACAAACGTCACCTCAGTTTCTGTAAATCAGCTCAGGTTACAGCTGCAGACATTAGCAGGTCGTTTTCACATGCAGTAAAATCAGAGCATGCAGGTTAATGTGGAATCTGTTTTCCTCGTGTTAATAAAAAAAACAACTAATTCTAACACATTTTTGGATTCAAAAGAGGTATTTTCAAATAAATAATGCAAAGTCATTTAAAACTACTCAAGAACATTAGCTGTGGTGTTTTGCCAGCTATTTCCCTTTGTATTGTTGCCGTTGGCCCCGTTTTCTCCTCTCTGTGGGTTCATTAAATGGTCTACATGAGTGGAGAAAAASAGGAAAAATCCTCGTAAGTGTCTCTAAATAACAAGTAGCACAAGAGGATCAGTAAACATGTGTGTATACAGTGAGCACATTAGGTAAACAGAAGTTATCCCGTGAAAAAGAGAAGCAACAAACAGCTGACGGCATTTGTCTGGATCTCTGCCGACATTTCGTTAACACTTGCACGCTCTGAAAAATAAAAGAAAAACGTGGCTTC